GGATGGGAATGGGGATGGGATGGGAAAGGGAATGGGATGGGAATGGGGATGGGATGGGAAAGGGAATGGGATGGGAATAGGAATGGGGATGAGATGGGAAAGGGAATGGGATGAGGATACGATGGGAATGGGGATGGGATGGGAAAGGGAATGGGATGGGAATGGGAATGGGGATAGGATGGGAATGGGGATTGGCTCTCTAGGAGGTTGTACCCGAAATCACTGCAGGAACACAAGGAATGGGATGGGATTCCATGGGAATGGGGATGGAATGGGATGGGAATGGGGATTGGTTCTCCAGGCAGTAGTACCGAAATCACTGGGAACACAGAATGGGATGGAATCCCATGGGAATGGGATGGGAATGGGAATGAGACTGAGAATGGGATGGGAATGGGGATGGGATCGTTTGGATGGTTGGATCAGTACCACAGGAAGTCCTGCAGGGTGCAGGGGCACACGGAGCGCTGGGGGCTGTGTTGGGATGGGATGGTTTGGGATGGGATGGATGGTTTGGGATCAGTACCACAGGAAGTCCTGCAGGGTGCAGGGGCACACGGAGCGCTGGGGGCTGGCGCTGAAGCCGCGCCCGTTGCGGCAGAGCGAGGCCTTGCGCAGGCGCCGGAACTGCTCCTTGTACCCCAGCACGCAGCCGTCACTGGGAGCACTGGGGTCACTGGAGTGAGCCAGCCAGATGGTGTAGTCCTTGTCCTCGCCTGCTCGGGCACGGGGACACGATGGAGGGGACACGGACACGGACACGGCCTGGTCTGGGCTGCAGAGCCACCACTGTCCCCAAGTCCCCAGCCCGGGTTATCCCAACTCCAGCCCATCCCCAGCCCAGGTTATCCCAACTCCAGCCCATTCCCAGCCCAGGTTATCCCAACTCCAGCCTGTCCCCATGTCCCCAGCTCAGCTCCCAGTCTGTCCCCAGCCCCCCTTGACCCCATCCCAGTCTGTCCCTGCTGTTCCCCCAGTCCCCATCCCAGCTGTCCCCATCCTTGGCTGTTCCCTGCTGTCCCTCTCCATTGCCCCCATCCCCTCCTTCCCTCCATCCCCTCATTCCCTCCATCCTCCCATCCCTCCATCCCCCACATCCCTCCATCCCCCCCCATCCCCCATATCTCTCCATCCCTCCATCCCCTCCCTGTCCCTGCCCCTCTCACAGGTCCTGCTGAGCAGCTCCCCAAAGTCCACGGTGTAGGACACCCAGTGCCGGGCAGGGAAGGCCCCCCCGGAATCCCCACACGCTGACGGTGCTGGAGCGAGCCCCCGGCTCCGAGGCCAGGCCCGTGAAGAAGAGCGGCTCGGGGGAGAAGGTGTGGCTGTACCAGCACTGCCCCTCGTCCGGGGAGAACCTGGGGGCAGGGGGGCACAGTCAGGGACCACCGGGGAGGGGGACAGCCCAGAACCAGGGACCACCTTGGAGAACCTTGGGGGCACTGCCAGGGACCCCGGGGAGAACCTGGGGTGTCCCAGCACTGCCCCTCATCTGGGGAGAACCTGGGGGCACGGGGGGCACAGTCAGGAACGACTGGGGAGGGGGATGCCCCAGAAACAGGGACCACCAGGGTGAACCTGGGGAGCACAGCCAGGGACCACTGGGGAAGGGGTGCCTGGGGATGGGGGTATCCGTAAACCAGGGAGCCCAGAGTCAGGGACCCCCAAGACAGGGACACCCCAAAGCCAGGGATAACCCAGAGACAGGGACCTTGGAAATGGGAGTACCCCAAAAACAGGGATAACCCAGAGCCAGGGACCCCAGAGATGGGGGTACCCAAAAACAGGGATAATCCAGCGCCAGGGGCAGCCCAAAGCCATGGATCCTACAGAACCAGGGACCCTGGACACGGGGACACCCCAAACCTGAGGGATGCCCCAAACACAGGAAGTCCCCAAACCCAGAGACACCCCAAACCCCCAGGACCCCCCAGACTCACAGGAGAGTGCTGAGGGGCTGGCTGGTGTGCTGGATGGTCACAAGGAACCCCCAGGACCCCAATAACCCTCCCATACTCACAGGAGGGTGTTGAGGGGCTGGCTGGTGTGCTGGATGGCCACGAGCAGCCCCCCTGAGTCGAGGATGCCGTAGTGGTGGGGGCCCCGCAGGGTCCGGGCCCAGCTGTAGCCGCCGTCGTCGGACACGAACACGTCGGGGCTCATCACGGACATGGCCCCCCCCGACGCTCCCTGGGGGGGCTCACGTCAGTCCGGGGGGCACTGGGGGGGTCCCCGCAGCCCCCCCGGCCTCCCCGTACCGTGGGCGAGGACGATGCCCACGGCACTGGGCTCTGACAGCGGCGCCATGGGCACGTTGAGCTTCTGCGAGATGCTGTACGAGGCGTGGATGTGCAGGCTGCACTGCAGTGGGGGCACTGTCAGCACCCCCAGGGGGGACACAGGACCCCCACGGGGCTCACGGGACACCCACGGGGCATGCGGGACCCCTGGGGGGACATGGGACACCCACGGGGCTCATGGGACACCCACGGGGATCACAGGACACCCATGGGGCACGCAGGACCCTTGGGGGGACATGGGACACCCACGGGGCTCACGGGACACCCACGGGGATCACAGGACACCCACAGGGCATGCGGGACCCTTGGGGGGACATGGGACACCCACGGGGCTCACAGGACACCCACAGGGCACGCAGGACCCCCAGGGTGGACATGGGACCCCCATGGTGCATACAGGACATCCAAGGGGGACGTGGGACCCCCACCAGGCACATGGTACCCCCATGGCACACCCACAGGATCCCCATGGGACCCACAGGACCCCCGGGGACCCCCACAGCACCCACGGGACCCCCATAGCACCCATGGACCCTCCAACCCCACACAGGACCCACAGGACCCCCAGGGGACCCCCATGGCACCCGCAGATCTCCTATGGCACCCACGGGACCCCCACGGGACCCCCAGGATCTCCACGGACCCCCTATGGCACCCCCAGGCACCCCCTGCAGATCCCTCAGACTCAGGGAGCCCCCAAATCTCCCCCCAGCCCCCCATGAGGGTCCCACCCAGGGGTCCTACACACACACCCCTCCGCAGCCCCCAATCTGAGGGTCTCCCCCACCTCTCCCTCACCTCCCGAGTTTGGGGGTCCCCTCTGGGGGTCCCACTCCCCTCCTCCCCTCCCCAGCCCTTCAATCTGGGGGTCCCACCCAGGAGTCACACCCACCTTCCTCCCAGTTTGGGGGTCCCCACCCAGGGGTCCCAACCCCCTCCTCCCCTTTCGGCCCCCATGTTGGGGGGGTCGTCCCCCCCCCTCAACCTGGGGGTCACCGTAGTGGTCCCTCCCCCCTGTTGGGGGTCTCCCTCCTCCTTTGGGGGTCTCTCCCCTCCTTTGAGGGTCCCGCCCCCCTTTGGGGTCCCTCCCATTACCATCTCCCCCTTTGGGGTCTCCCTCCCCCTTTGGGGGTCTCCTCTCCCCTTTGGGGTCCCCCCCTTTGTGGGTCTCCCTCTCCCTTTGGGATCTCACCCCCCCTCTAGGATCTCCTCCCCCTTTAGGATCTCCCCTCCCTTTAGGGTCTCCCCCCCCTTTGGGGGTCTCCCCTTCCATAGGATCTCCCCCCACACTTTGGGGGTCTCCCTGTCTCTTTGGGGTTGCCCCCTTTGGTGTCTCCTTCCCCCTTTGGGGTCTCCCTCCCCCTTTACGATCTCCTCCCCCCCTTTGGGGGGTCTCCCCTCCACTTTAGGTTCCCCCCCTCTTTGGGGTCTCCCCCGTTGGGAGACTCTCCCCTTTTGGGGGTCCCCCCTTCCCTCTGGTGTCTCCCCCCCTTTTGGGGTCCCTGTGGTCCCACCTGGTCCCCGCTGGGGGTGGTGCCGTCGCAGGGGCTGTTGTGGGGTCTGCGCAGGGGCTCCCACTGCCCCCCCCGGTCGAAGGTGATCACGGAGCGGATGGAATTGTCTGGGATGGGCACAGGGAATGTCCGGGAATGACAGGGAACGGGGGGGGGCTCAGCACAGCCCCCCGCCCCCCCCCCAGCACCCCCAGTTTGGGGGCAGGGTTAACCCCCCTCCCTCCCACCGGGGTCCTATCCCAGGGGAGGATTTGTGGGGTGGGATCCCCCTCCCCTCCATCCCCCCAGATCCCAGATTCAAGATCCCAGGGGAGGACTTTTGGGATGGGATCCCTCTTCCCTCCATCCCCCCAGATCCCAAATCCCATCCCTGTGGAGGATTTTTGGGATGGGATCACCCTTCTCTCCATCCCCCCAGATCAGATCCCAGATCCCAAATCCCATGCCAGGGGAGGATTTTGGGGATGGGATCACCCTCCCCTCCATCCCCCCCATCCCAGATCCCAAGGGAGGATTTGTGGGGTGGGATCTCCCTCCCCTCCATGACCCCAGATCAGATCCCAGACCCCAAATCCCACCCCTGAGGAAGATTTTTGGGGTGGGATCCTCCTTCCCTCCATCCCCCCAGATCCCAGGGCAGGATTTTTGGGATGAGATTACTCTCCTCTCCATTCCCCCAGATCCCTGAACCCTGGAGAGGATTTTTGGGATGGGATCACCCTCTTCTCCATCCCCCTTAACCCAGATCCCAGGAGTGGATCCCAGTGGTGGGTCCCAAGTATAGATCCCAGGTCCCAGGGATGGATCCTACAGCAGATCCCAGAGCCCAGGGTGGATTCCAGAGCCCAGGGGCAGATCCCAGGAGCAGGTCCCAGATCCCGGGGTGGATCCTAGCGGGGGGGGGGGGGGGGGGGTGGATCCCAGGTCCTGGATCTCAGGGTGGATCCCAGAGGTCAATCCCAGATTCCAGGGGTGGGTCCCAGAGGTGGATCCTAGGCCCCAGGGGTGGATCCCAGATCTCACGGGCAGATCTCAGATCCCAAGGGTGGGTCTCAGCCCCCATTGATGGATCCCAAGGGTGGGTCCCAGATCTCAGAGGTGGGTCCCAGGGATGGATCCCAGATCCCACAGGCAGATCCCAGATCCCAGGGGTGAGTTCCAGCTCCCAGGGATGGATCCCAGATCCCGGGGTGGATTCCAGCTCCCAGGGATGGATCCCAGATCCCAGATCCCGGGGTGGCTCCCGGGTGGCTCCCGGGCGGATCCCAGCGCACCCTCAGCCAGCACGCTGGTGATGAAGGTGCCGCGCAGGGAGGTGACGTTGGTGAAGTCGGTCTCCCCGCCCGTGGTGGTGTACAGGTGCCTCTCCAGGGACTTGGAGTAGAGGATCCCGCGCTCGTCCGACGTGTAGATGGTCCCGAATCCCGTGTCTGCAGCGGGGGGGGCAGGAAGCACCAAATCCCCGGAAAACACAGTGGGCGGGGGGATGATCAACGGAGTCCCACGAGGAAACCCCCCCCGTGCTCCCCCTGGAGCTTCCCGGGGGTGTCCCACCATCCCTGCCTGTGTTTCAGGGTTGTCCCACCATCCCTGCCCATCTCCTGGGGGTGTCCCACCATCTCTTCCCATCTCCCAGTAGTATCCTGCCATCCCTTCCCATCTCCCAGCGCTCTGGATCCCGCTCCCAGATCCTGCTCCAAATCCCAGATCCCACCCCCGGATCCCAATCCTGCTCCTGGATCCTGATCCCAATCCCGATCCCACTCCCGATCTCACTCCCAGTCCCAGATCCTGCTCCTGGATCCCGCTCCCGATCTTGCTCCCAATCCCAATCCCACTCCCAGATCCCACTCCTGCTCCCAGATCCTGCTCCTGCTCCTGGATTCTGTTCCCAATCCTGCTCTGGATCCCACTCCTGCTCCCAGATCCTGCTCTCACTCCCGCTCCTGATCCCAGATCCCACTCTGGATCCTAATCTCACTCCCGCTCCCACTCCTGATCCTGCTCCCACTCCCAATCCCAATCCTGATCCCAATCCCAGATATCGCTCCCAGATCCCGCTCTTAGTCTCACTCCCACTCCTGGATCCCACTCCCAATCCCGCTCTTGATCCCAATCCCGCTCCTGCTCCTACTCCCAGATCCTGTTCCCACTCCCAATCCCACTCCCAACCCCACTCCCATTCCCATTCCCACCCTCCCTCACCCCCGGGCTCGTCCACGTGCATGAACACCAGGTCGTCGTTGGCGGCCAGGATGGAGTAGAACTGCTCGTGTCCCACCGAGGGCAGCTGGGCCATGTTCCAGGAATCCCCCTGGTCCAGGGACACGTGGATGCGCCTCATGGTGCCCTGTGGGAGCAGCAGTGTCGGGATAACCCGTGGGATGGCACAGGCAGACCACGGGACAGCGGGAAAAGCAGGATCGGCACCTGCTCCGTCATGACAGAGGCAAAGAGGAAGCGGCCGCCCATCCCGAAGGAGTAGATCCGGGAGCCGATGGTCCGGAAGGATCGTCCCAGGTCAGGGGTTTTCTTCAGCTCCAGGAATCCCAGATCAGCTTCTTAACGCATGGGAGGGGGGGTCAGGGGGCTCCAGAGGGGTTTGGGATGCTCCCAACCCCCCCATCCCGCGGGACTCACTGCAGGAATTGTTCAGGAACGTGGTGAAGAAGATGGTGTCGTTCCCACCCCTGAGGGAAGAGGGAATTAGGGAATTCAGCCCCAAGAAAAGGGCTGGGATGTAATTGGGGGAGGGGAGGAGGGGGGGGTGATTCTCAAAATGCAGTCCCCCCCCATTCCAAAATCCAGCAGGGACTCACCACTTGGCCAAGCACACGGATTTGTGGATCTCCCGCCAGCGCTCCCCGAAATCCGTGGAGATCCAGAGCCCGTTCTGGGACAGGGAGGATCAGGATCAGGATGGGCTACCCTGACATCCCCACCCCGTGTGCCCTCAGCCCGGGGCCCCACCAGTGTCTCCAGTACCCCAAAAGTGTCCCCAAACACCCCAAAAGTGTCCCCATGCCCCCCCCAAGGATCCCAGTCACCCCACAGGTGTCCCCAGGTGCCCCACAACTGTGCCCAGACACCCCAAAAGTGTCCCCACCCTCCCCATGTGTATCCCAGTTGCCCCCCCCAGTGTCCCCAGTTGCCCCCCCCAGTGTCCCCAGTGTCCCCAGTACCTCGGTGCTCAGTGC